GGACGAACCTGGGGGCAAACAAACTCTCACACGGGGCTGCTAGGTTTCTGTCATTTCTAGCAGTGTACTCTACGAATACATTACAAAAAAGCCGCACCTGCTAAAAACTACGTCGTAAATTTGATTGAAAAGAAACTTGCGTTTGCAGCGTGTTTCGTGCTTTTTTGCGAGTAAAGGAGCTAGAGCTGCCGTGCCAGAGGCTTGATGGTATGGATGTGGCGCCAACCCCCCACCCCGCTTGATACTTGGCATGAAGCCTGCCTTAATGCCCTATCAATGGTGCCATTGACTCGCCAGCAGGGCCATGGGTACGCAGGCGTAGGCCTGAGCGAGCCTACTCGGCAAAAATTTAAGTACACTCTGGCAAAACTAGTGTTGGAAGTTGCACAACGAATGATGTGCAATTTCTAGTGTGAAAAGTTTATATGCTTCGTGGTGTCGAACGTGAACTAGACTTCAACTAATTTAAAAAAAAAAACCTAAGTTGCACAATGCACCATACTTGCAAGTATGTTTCAACAATGCCTACAATCAATCCCATAAATAGAAAGTCGTGAAGATCATCTCACTGTGATTTTTTTTGTAAAGTTACGATATTTTTTGCAAATCATAATACGCGTGCGAAAATAAATACAAATACCTATAAAGCAAGTTTTTTTTAATCAATTGCATTACAGTTTTAAGTAGCCTATTCTAGAGATTAGAACATTCGGACACCAGAATTTTCCTAATTCAAAACTTGTCTTTCCTGGCTGAGGGTTAAAAGAAACCCCCGATTGTACATCAGAAAACTCCTTTTTGCCGCGCGTTGCATGTGCGGTGCGGTGCGCCCCCGATATGGCGTGCACGGGTGCGGGCGGGTGGCCGGCTGGGTGGTCCCGTCCAAATATTTTACCGTTGATTGGCCGAGGCGGCGGCGCAGCGCGGGAGGGTTTGAAAAGGGCCGCGGCACGAGCCACAAAGCGTGGCGTGGGGCGGAGTGGAGCAGCGACAAAAGCAGCAGCAGTGTGGCAGCAGCGGCAGCAGAAGCGGCAGTGCCATCCGTCCGTTCATCCGCATTCCGAGCTAAGTAGTTGGAGGGGAGGGGAAGGGATGGGGGGAGGGCCTCGTGTGTTGATTTGCTACTCTTTCACCGCTCCTCGGCGTGGCGAGCAGCTTGGCGGATCACAAGGCGCGCACGCTGCGGCATAACAACGGCACACGTGCGCCCGAGAGTGGAAGAGAGAGAGACTTTGACAAACACACACACATGCATGCATTGTAGAAATAAGCTACAGACGATTACGTTAAAGCCACGTATCATGCCTCGAGCATCCTGTACCCCCCTCCCTCCCCCCTCCAAAAAAACAGCCCCTCAGGTTGTCTCATGAGAGGAGTTATTATTGTAAGTATTGTGTGGCTTATTTATTGAGACCCCGGAGACATTTAGACAACCTTCAGTCAAAAAAGAGACATCAGAGAGGCATATCGTTTTGTCTCATCTACTTTCGTCTTTTCGTTGGCTCGGCCTTCTGAAAGCCTTCTTGGTGACGTGACAAAGATTTGAGATCTTGTGGAGACAACGCCAAGACATGGCGATTCGTGATGTAGGAAATAAAGTCAGCCGAAAACCGGAAATTTCCGGTTAAGAGAAGACAAGACTTAAACTACCAACTAACCAATCAGCCGGGCCCGGTATCCGCTCGGCAATAAAGGCGCAAACTAGTGTTATGTGCTGCAGCTGGGGACCACTAGACACCGCCTCGCTACCAGGAAAGTCCTAAGCTTTAATTCTCCACAAAGTAGCTACATACACAAACTCATGCGAAACATTTTTGAACAAGGTGAGACTTTAAACTCGCCTTGTTTTTGGCAAACAACAAAACTCGGTGATGTGCCATCATTTTATGGCTATAACATGACAGGAACAGATCAAAGAGTGCGTCACAAACGTGTGAACAATTGGTAGGCCTACACCACGGGTAAAGGATGTGTGGCATTTTTACTTTTCTGAATGAATTGCGCACTTAACTTGATGGAACAGCATACACCGGCGTACACGGTTTCATTTCGCAAAGTACGTCTATTACTTCGTGCATTTCTTACGCACCCACTGACCAAGAGGAAACAAGAAAGACGTGTGAAATATGGCAGTTAAAAGTGCAATCTGCAATACCGTTGAGCGTCTGAACGACCCCTGACCCCGCCGGCTCATCAGCCTCGATGCCTGCAAACTACTATGTACGTTGTCCGGAGCGATGAGAGTAGCCGGCCGCAGCAAAATAAGGGTCTTTCAGCAGCAAATGTGCACTGTCACAATGTTTAAATGCTTGTATTTCCAATTTATTTCCATTTCATTTTTTGATGTTGTGGTACACAAGGAGAGAGGCCGCAATCAGCATGCCCTCTCGGAATAAGGCTCAGGCAAGCGTAGGTTTATTGCAGATTTCAAATTATGAGGCTCGTAAGGCCGTCGGGTTAAACGGCACTCCACTACTGCACGGCAAACACATGAGCAGCTAGCAGGACCTGGTTTGCGTTTCTTTTCTCGTGTTATACCCCCCTTACATTCTTGCTCTTACAATTATTCTCGTTCCCTTGCCTCCCTCCGTCGCAACTTGTTCCTTTCTTTCAGGTCACCAGTTTCATCCCACAGTGTACCTGATTGCACTATGCCGTGATCGCCCGCAGGGGGCCCGCTGGTGCAGCAGACACCTCCTCCAGCGGCAGCAGAATCAGAAAACAGTAAGCAGCCGCACGCCACTACACCAACCGACCTACAAACAGAAAAGGAAAACACAATTTGTTAGTGAAGAAACTAAAAACAAGCTGTGTTGCTTTTGGTTAACACACGAAGAAAATGCATTTTATTGCAGGAAACTTTTTATAACAAGACATCTCAGAGCATAGAGGGGGAGAGGGGGAGAGGGGAGAGGGGAAGTCCCAGTCACGGAAAAATGTGGCAATGACGGTCACAGTAGACGTGTTAATAAATAAGGCAAAAGAAAAGCAATAATTTTTATTTCGAAAAATGTAAAGAAAATTCCAACAAAAAATCAGCTACTCTGTCGGCAGGCGTAGGTTTAGGTTTCTAGGTCAGAATGGAGGGGGGAGGTGACGCGGGCACATTGTGAGGAGGGAACCGAAGGAGGTGTAGGTGGAGGAGGGGGAGGGCGCATGCGCCGAAAAATGAGAATAGGAGTGTGGCCGAGCGAAGGACGCGGGAGGCGGAGGAGCAGGGGGGGGGGGGGGGGGGGCAGTCAAAAGAACAAGTGCACGCGTCCCAATCGGTGTCGTCTCACTTCCCAAGAAAGGTATGAGAGAAGGGAAAAAAGTAAGGCGGACGGAAAAAGACGACAAAAGAACTGCGCACGAAAAGAAAGGGTGGGGAAAAAAGGGACTGAACGCGGAAGCGGAGAGCACACTTTCGTCCTGCATAAGCAAGTGTAGGGCTCACACAGCAGCGGGGGCCACAATGTTTCAGCAAGGCTTCCGGACCAGAGGGAGGGCCTCGGAGAGGGCTTGAGGCGATGACACATTTAATCCCACACCCAGAGGCATCCCTAATCAAGAGACGTCTCGAAGAGCCATTATCGATTTTCACCGCGGCTCGGCGCCGCCACGCCACACCCACCCCGCCCCACCACGCCCCGCAACGAGAAGATGGGACCTCCAAGAAGTAACGGGCCATAGCCCGGCAGGCTGCTAGCAGGCCGCCCCCACACAGTAGGCAGGCGCACGGCAGCCGTCTGCTTGATCGAACACCGGCACGAGATGTCGCTATGTGTGGTCGTATCGAGGCGAGCGAGGCATCGACACGCGCGATGTGCGTCGATCGATGAGTCGAATCGCTCGCTGGGCGCGTTTTTCACTGGAAGCATAGAAGGTTGCCGGCCGGGCTTGGGGTGCCTCCCTCTTATGGTGAATTTAATTAAAGACGCGTCTGCCTGAAAAAGGCGAAAAGCTCTTGTGGCACCCATGGACGGCGTGTGCAGTAGCATGTCCCAGTCCAGTGGCGTGGTGGGGCGAGGCGGGGCGAGCTGGGGCGAGGTGGGGCGGGCCGGGGCCAGCGGCGTCGTCAAGTTTTATCCCGGCTGCTGATGCGTTAAAGTTCCTCCCCAGTTGGAATGCGCTAGCTTGCCGAGCCGGGCGGCCCAGGCTGGGCGGGAGAGCCGAGTTGTGTCTAGTGTATCGGACATCGAAAGCTTCGACGACCAGGACGACGGAAAGGGTAGTGAGAAGGATGAGGATATGTAAGAAGATGTAAGAAGATGGGGTAGGAGAAGGGACAGGTGGCGGACGAGGACCACAGAGGACGGCGTCGGGACCGGTCCGGAGGCTATGATTGAGCCGTCCCACGCAGAGCAGGCACCTGCCGCGGGGGTCAAGGCCTCGAGCAGGACGAGGATGACACACAGACCGATGAACCTCCTTCTCCAATACGGTAAATACGCCCACGTCACGATTCGGCGCACACATGTCGTTGGTGAAGCGAGGCGCGCCGAGGCGTGGAAAGGCGTGCCGGGGCGGGGTGGGGCGGGGCGGGGCGGGGCCCAACCGCGCAGCGTGACCCGCCGCGCATAGGACACGCATGAGGTTGGGGGGCGCCGCCGGGCCGAGCAGCGGAAGTGTGGCCGTGGCCGACCACTATGTGAAGGTCTGGGTCGAGCCGGGGGCGGGGCCCGTCCGCGGCTGCCATGGGCGCGCGGTCCGACGCTGCCGGCACACTGCACACTGACCCGGTGACCCTTCCCGCCCAGCCCCGCCCCGCCCGGCCACCTGCGACCCAACGCAAGAGTCGTGTCGTGCCGGCCGGGCCTCGGGACGGGCGAGGCGGGGAGGGGAGGGGAAGGTCACTCATCCGATGGAGAGCCTCCCTCCCTCCCTCTACTTCCCTCTTTACCTTCCTCTACCTCTCTCTATCACACACACACAAACAGACACACACACAGAAGACGCGCGGGGCGTCGTGCCGTACCTCGCGGGGAATGTGTTCTGTCCGACATATACACGTGCTTTGCTCTCGGAGGGAATGAAGAAGAAGCGGCGCAGCAGAAGTCGTGGAGACGCCGGCAGTTACAAACAAGCCAGAAGTAATAACGATAAAAATTAGGCCAAACGTGAGCAGAGAAGCGACGACCACACGTATGGGCGCGCCAGGGATACTTTTTCAATCAGGCGGCCCACAAGACGAAAGAAAAAAGTTATGCATACATGTATGTGGCCCACTGGTCTCCAGCTGAGCGAACTAGGCTGGGCCGAGCGACCAGAGCAGACTGAAGAGCTTCTAAAGTCACCACAATTGATCACGATTGATCACCATACCGTGAAATCGAATACTGGTGTAAACTGGGCTAACCTAGCCATCTCTAAAAAAGACGTATAAAAGATATAGGTCTAGTTTTCGGCCATTTAGACCACTAAATGGTCTTAGACGCCACGAGGAGGAAGTATTTCTGGTTGGGAAACCGATGCGTGGAAAAGTAACGTAATATAAAATAAAATTTGGAAAATAAAAATGTCGCGTAGCTTGTGACAGTGTGTCAGTACTAAATGTTTGACGTTAGTCTGCTGACATCACGGCTGTGCGTGCGTATCATGCATGCGGGCGGACTTTCTCCCTCGACTGTACTCGATGAGCCCACCGGCGGCGCGGCAAGGCTGGCGGCAGACGACGGCATCATTACTACGAAAAATTAGCCACTTTCATTCCTTTTTTGCCGGCAGCTGTCCACTTCAGTCTGTTGGGCGCTGCTGGACGTTAGCATGACAAGTCCGTCCGGTCGCCTGATCGTCCGGACGAAACAGACGGACGGATAGGTGGGCAAACAGACTTGGCAACGCCAGGTTTAAATTATTCGCAGCTATTACAAAATAGTTACATTCTCGTTGTTTTACTTTGCTGTTGGAGGATACACCGTCACAGCAAGTGTGCAGGGCTCGCCGTAAAAAATGTCCTTGTAAACTAACAACACATTTTGTATTTGCCAGAATATGTTGTAAATTTGCAGCACGACAATCTTGCTTGCCTATAAATTATGAATTCCATGTCGATTCGTAGTGCTTGTGCTTTTCCAATTTTTAAAAATCTTAAGTAATTGACAACACACATAATGGAAAATTTTCCTGTAACCCTTTAGCAAGAATTTCTCAAAGTGCTGCATGCGTATCTTTACAAAGTTTGCAGGATATTCAGCACAAAATTGTGATGGTGTAAAATGTGCGATATTTGTCAGACTAGCAGGTGCAAATGAGACTTATATAATTACATATTGGCGTGATAGTTTCATAAATAATATATGTATAAAGCTTGTTTGGTTGTCTGCATGAGCAGCCCCCACGTAGAACGACACCCTAAGTGCCGTCCACCATCAACAGACTTATCGACCCGACTTCAAACTTTTTCTGTCTCTCTCTTTTCTTTTCGCTTTTACGCGCGTCGAGAGGTTGGTGTTCGTTTTGCTCTCGCTGTCGCGAGTGTCGCCGGCCCCGCGCGCGGCCCAACGCCCTGCTCGTTAATCGTTTTGTAACAGAGTAGCGCGCGCACTGCACATGGAAAATGGAATGGCTGTGCGTCTCTTCTTCTCCGTCCCTTTGCGGAAGAGCTGCTGCTGCTGCAGTGTTGCGTTAACGAGACGACCAGTAATTACAGAAGCACAGTCACACGCACGCACACGCACGCACCAAAACAGCCAATAACTACAGGAGACACGCGGGCTCCCCTCTCCCCCCTCTGTCCCCTAGAAAACCACAGAGACAAAGGGGTCGTGAAAATAATGTGCATTACTTTAAAAACGTTGTCGTAAAAATATAATATGTAAATAGTGCATGCGTTCAACTACAACATTTATTAATTTTCTTGAATATAAAGACTATCAGGATCCTACACTATAACAAATTCTTCCATAGTAAGACGAATGATGCAGCGTTTTCCAGGTGCATTTTTGAAAAGCACAGTGCAGAGCAAAGTGCATGATTGACTTGTGAGTCGTGTATGCCACATTCTACACAGTAGTCGTTTAAATAAATTATTACAGAAATGGATAAGTAGATGAATAAATGAGCTGCGTTTAAGAAATTTTTAGACGTTCCCAAAATGAGCAAAATAATTATTTAGGTACATAGTAGGTGAAGCAGTGGCTGTGACTACTGCCGACGCAAAAGAAGACACAAAATAAGATGATATCAGTTCAAGCAATTTCCACGGAAAAGGAGTCGAGTCTGAGAGTCGGCGGTGGAGCTCTCCCAGGTATCACGGGGGAGACATCAGTATGAGAGATTTACCGACAAGATGCAGCATCAACTAATTAGGACTAACTCCACTCGTTCGTTTTTATATTACATTTAGATTGGCGTTGACGTCCCCCCGCCCTTCCCGGTGGCTTCAGCTGATCAGTCCGATGAGGCATCATACGTGGCGACATGCCTTGGAGAAAAATTAAGGTGCCCTTATTATATACTAGACAGTATTGACTGCACCCTTCAAAGGACATAGACAAATGCAGATGGAGGAAGAGGAAGAAGAGGAAGAAGAGGAAGAAGAGGAAGAAGAGGAAGAAGAGGAAGAAGAAGAAGAAGAAGAAGAAGAAGAAGAAGAAGAAGAAGAAGAAGAAGAAGAAGAAGAAGAAGAAAATTGTGAATCGCGACCTCCCATTGCTGGGGAAGTAAATAGTCTGCACTCTGATCAGAGAGAGCCTCTCTCTCCCAGGCCAATCTAGGAGGAATCTCAACGCATGCGCTGTAAACAAGGATGATTGCGACGTGGATCCTCCTTCCC